CCACATTGCCCCATCAATAACTGGAAGAATCGCTTCTGCTTCTCAGTGCCCCAGGCCTAGCTTATCGAGGGTGGCCCAACTCTACTGGCCATTGAAGCTTCTGATTCCACTTTGGGATCCTGGAAAAGAGCCTCTGTTGGCTTTCTAACCCTAAATCTCTTCATTCTTTGCACTTTGTGAATCTTTTCATGCTATAGAGGCAGCTGTTACTCTGCAGTGTCACATTCTATACGTGTCATTAAAACATCTCATAGTCATCTAGGTGGAGGTGTTCCATAAACAACTGCCTGAATTTTAAAAAGTGGTTGAAAACATAGAACAGATAAGGTCAAATTGCCTGGATTTGGATTTTAAATCTACCACTGGGTAAGTTATTTAACATTTATAAACCTCATTTTCCTGATCTGTAAAATAGTGATAAAAATAGTACCTCATAGGATTGTTATGAGAAGCAAATAAAATCATCCATGTAAAATGCTTGGCACAATTCCTGGCACATAGTAATCTTCTCAAGTATATGCTAGTTATTCATATCATTTTATATAGTAAATGTACTGCATATGTTGTATATTATATAGATAATATATATTACATGTAGCCATTATCATTATTATTTGTGCAATGAGCAGAATGTAGAAGGTGGGGATGTCTTACCAAAAGTTGAGGGGCCCTGAGAAGTGAACTCTACCAATGCAGATGACTTTCTTAAAGACCAAAATAAACAGGCTATGGCCAAACCAGTTGGTTTGGTGACCAGAAGATGATATCTATCAACACAGCATATGAAAGTTAAGCTTATATGTAAGGCCACTCCCTGATCCAAATACCAGGCTGCTCTTCAAGCATGTGTCACTTACTAAACAGTTAATGAAACCCAAAGATCCTTGAATTCCTCCAGTGTCACATTTCAAGACTTATAGAATAATTAGGAAAAATCTGAGCTGGCAAAACTCTTCCTGGCTTGCCCTGATGAGCAGACCCTCTTTGTTTGCCATTAGTGTGTGTTGTCGTCACAGTAACTACAGGGCTCCAAATACAGGCGCAGGGCATCATTTCCTCATGTGCACTTAGGCTGCCACACTGAAATAGCATTATGAACTCAGCAATACCTCTTCCTTTCCTGTTGTGCTTGGTACCACGGTCAAAGAGGCAAGGCCTAAAAGGAGTTACTTAAGACATAAGTATATGAAAGAAAAAGAATGTTCATTTATTCCCATTACTGTGTCATCGTGTGTGTGTGTGCGCGCGCATGTATGTGTGAAAACCTAATTTTTGCATAGATCTTTTAGATAAACAAGGGCAAGTTGGCAGTAACTCCATTGTCTTGGTGGTGCCAGCAGTCTATTGTTTTCAGTCAAATTTTCTTTTGGCCTGAAATCTTCAGCAAATTATTTTTTAAAGAATGCATTTAGCCAACTCTGATGTGTCCATTTCATACCTTTCTTATATCTTTTCCTTACAAAGATAAGAAGCAGATAATTCATTTATTGAAAGTAACTTGGGAAGATTGCAATTAGAGTTTTTACAAGATCAAAAAAGACTATTTTCAAGTACAGACTTATAGGGTCCTTGGTCAGTGAAGCAACAATCATCGTTTCCTCAATGTTTTGGAAAAGGAGGTAGGCAACAGCATTTAGGCAAGCAAATAAAAACAGAAATATCCTTAAACCTTAAGGGCTCAATTAAAATCAGATCACTCAAGATAATTTCTGCATTAGCTTTAAAAATTCTTTTTAGTTTGTCTTTCACAGACCTCAGAAACACATAAATCACCCAATATTATGCACATTGACACCATTTCCAAAAATGGGAAAAAAGACCCAAACCTTCTTTTGATGTCTCAGTGTTGCTAAGGCTTAAACAAAGCCCTCAGAGACACAGCAGCATGGGGATGCTGGTTTATGTTGTATTACTTCACTTCTGTGCTGGGAGTTTCTCAATTTCTGCAATCAGCTGGTTAACAGCCAGCTAAAGCTGCTCAGTTCATGTATGATTTTCCTTATTCTAAATTCTTCCACAACAGGCTTCCTGGTCTTTGAAATTCCCTGCCTTAGCTTCCACCAGGGAAAGCTATATTCTGCCTGTTGCCTTTTCCCTTCTCTCATTAGCTAAAGCATAGACTGACCATTTAAGAAAAAAGAAAAACATAATCCAATATACTTTCCTGAGGTTCTTATATTTTTGCCCTGGTACCACTATAATGTATTCATTCTGCAAAGCCAGGAAAAATTATTTCCTTCTTTTCTTTCTTTATTGTACTTTTCCTTCCTACCTTCCTTTGTTTCTTTATCTCCACACAAAGTTTTCATTAGAGAATGATAATTTAAAAATTTGTTTTGCCTCATCTTTTAGAGACTTATCCTTTCAATTGGGAAAAATAAAGTAAAATTGACAGATTTAAACCATGTATGTCCTGCATAAGGTTTATTGCCACTAAAGCTGCTAAGAAACTTTCCTGCTTATAAGGGTGCTTTATATATTTTTAAGTATACAGAATATTAAGCAGAATACACATACACACACATCTTCCGAGATAACACTTTTTGTTTGTCTTGGAATGTATATTTCTTTTCATATTTAAGAAGAATGAATAGGATTAAGGGCAATGAATAGCAAGAATTCATTTCCATTTAGTAAAGTTAAAGTTAGCTTAAGATGACCTTTTTTGGTCTTTTCATTTTTATCTGTTACTAGGTTAGTAAAACAAAACAAATCATCTAAGGAAAGAAATAAAGAATGATAAATTTAATAATGTGTTCTTGCATGGAGGAGGAAGTCTTCGTTGCTGTACATTACCCAGTGTAGTTGGCTGTAAAACAGACACCCAAGCACTATGTATAAACACACTTTATCTCCAAGTGCAAATATAGAAACCATAGAACAGTCTGTGCTGTGGGTGATTTCTTAGCCTTTTTAGTAATGGTTCTATAAGACAACAGACTGCTGAGTGATAAGGGAGAGTTTGAAACATAAATTCCATATTAAATTATTGGCTGCTGTTCAAATTGTGTCTGCTTAGAGTACCTAGCAGCAAAGTATGTCCCAAGCAGGATTCCAAACTTAAATAATACATTCTCCTACCTTTCCTATAATCTATGAAGTTGAGATCACAAACTATCTGCATCCAAGAATTTTGTATGCAACAAAGATTAAAGTAAACAAATAACTACATTTAAGGTGTAATAAAGCCATACTAGCTTAAATTTATTAAAGAATAAATTATAAACTACAGATTTTATAAGTCATTTAATGTTCAAAAAAACTTTATAAGGAAATAGCATTATTACCCTCATTTTACAGATGAAGAAACTGAGACACAGAGATTAATTTGCCTAAGGTCACCTTGAGCTGAAATCTGAATCCAGGCTATCTGACTGACTTACTCAAGTACTAACCTTTTCTGACTCCTCTTCCATGAACATATTCTGGTTATATCCTCAACTCAGATTTAAAGAAACAAAATGTATTTTTATTAGCTTATCTTTTTTTCTATTTATTGTTATATGTATTAAAAACAATGTAAAAACAATTTTATACTGCAAACTTTTAGATGTCATTTTTCTAATAAATTGTTAACTAATCTTTTTTCTCTTAAACCTTTCTGTTGAGATAAATCTCAACATGAGCTTGCCCCCTCATTTCTCCTAGTGCTACCTTTCTAAAACCCACAAGTTTAAAGAAGGAAGATTAGACAAATGAATGAAAATGTGGATTAAACAAACTGTGTAAAATCTTATATCTTAAGGAATATGTTTTATGAAAAAATGCTCATCTGCCAAAAAAGGAAAACACAGGTAGCATTATTTAGACTGCATAAACCCCAAAGTTTCACTTCTAAACAATAAATAAAAATTATAACCACAAGGAAACCGGTGCTTAATGAATATATTAAATATTTCACAAATTTCATTGGAAAATTCCATAGGGTTTCTTACTGAATATCCATTTAAAAGAGTAAATTTCACCACTTTGCCCATCTTAAAATATAAATACTAAGAGAATGTTTTTCTTTTGGTGGATACAGAACAAATTGCTTCGAAAGTATGATTCCTGCTTTATCTCACCCAATAAGGTTACAGTTTTCACGAGAAATTAAAGATAACACTGAAAAACGTCTCTTTTTCAAAATATCAAGAGAAAAAGAACAGAAAAAGGATCATAACGCATTTAAATGTTTTCTTGTTCAAAGCCAGATTCTAATTCACGATCCACAAACAGGAGCCATGATTTAAATGAATTGTACCAAAAGTAACTGTAAGTAGAACCTGGCACCAAAAGATAACAAAAGTATATAAGTTACAGTATTTAGAGGTCTAGGTAGATACACAGGATGTGTGTGTGTGTGTGCGTGTGTGTGTGTGTGTGTGTGTGCATGCATGCATATATACATACACAGTCCTGTCATATTTCCCCTTTCTATTTTATTCCTGAGAGATACAACATCATTTCCACAATCAAGTACATGAGTGTAGTTAAAAGTGTTTGTAATTTTTCTGTGCATGGTAAAACTATGAAGACTTTCCTTGAGAAATTTCTGAAGTAAAAAGTTATTAACTTACAGTTGCTTTTCTTGATTCTATACTTATCCATACTTTCTCTTATCATCAGATATCAGAGCCACAAATGTGAATAGAACATCCGCAACATGCCTGCAGCTGAGAAGCTCCAAAGCCAAGTGATGCTTAGGATACTGCCTTGCACCTAATAGATGTCATAAAATTGTTCTGAATATAAAGAGGCAACCCCTACTTAAAAGTACCCTAATTCTAACAGAGCACCAAGCTGTCTAAACTTAGAAAGAATCACTTCTAAAATGTATGGTCCAGAATATCATTGTGAAAGTGGAAGACTCTGATCTGGGTCTTAAAGAGTAGGCAAAGTTTCTACAGGACCAGAGAGTAAATGTCTTCCAGGCGGGGAGAATAAAAGCTGGGGCAAAGCTGGGGTATTGAAATGTTCGCTGAGTATGTGTTTGGAGAATGGCCCATAATCTGAAATACCTGAAGCAGAGGGACCTTGTTGTTGAGTCATAGTAGTGAGACTGGAAAAGTTAAGTAGGTGCCAGATGATGGAAGGTTTTCAAAATACCCAGCCTAGGTGTTTGGCAGCTACTAGAAGTCCCAGAAGATAACTGAAGAGTAGATAGACAAACATAGCAATGCTTTAGTAAAACCAATCTCGTGGTCATGGGCAAGATGATTTGGATGGCAACAAGGGGTAGGAAGGAACAGCATTGTTACAACCCAAACTAGCATGAAGAGAACAGGCATTAGTGTGGTGGAAGACATGGCAATGGAATCTAACAACTTTCATGGTAAAGGGGAAAGGGACGATTCCAAAATGTCACAGAACTATGAACTTGAGTGAATAGGAGAACAGATCTGCATTGTCGTGGAGAGCCTGATTGTTCATGTAGTGGAGGAAACCGTGTGGTTTAGCCCGAGCTGAGTTGCTCTTGATTCTCAAGAATAAATGTACGACAATGAAGACAATTAATGATACTGAAAAATTCACTTCATAAGCAAACACGACTTTCACACAGGGCCAAATGCTGCACTCAGTTATCGCCACACTGTCCCACTGACTCCAAAAGAAATTACATGCCTAGAATCAATGGTAGATTTTGGCCTTACACATACATTTTTAAGCCAACAACATGACCCTTCTTAGCATAAAAACAAGAACAATGTAAAGCATTTAGTTCTGACTTTTCAAACTCCTTTGAGACAAAGATATTTCATCTCTACTAAAGCACCAGGAGTTTCATTCTCTAATAGTAAACTTACCAGAGTGCCTTTTGCACTATTATTTGTACATATTTGTATCATATGTGATTCACTTATTTACTGTATAAACAAGTAATCAGAATTATAAAACATAATACATACTGAAATGGGTGCCCTGTTTCATTTTCCTGAGTATATGCTATATAAGCTTTAATTAGCTTTTCTTAAAAAAGGATCATTTTCTGAAAAGGCTGATACATTCTTATTTGTCAACAAATAATATGTTCAAAACTGGTCTTGGGTACTTTCTTTACATTGATAGAATAGACTTTAAAATTCCAATTAAAATGTGCTTCAATAAATTCTTTGATATTATCCTTAGACTAGAAAAATTATTCAAATCATCATGTTCATTTAGAGGAAAAACATTTTTACGCAAATCTAGCCCAATTACAAACCACCAGATGTCAATACTAACTATGTCAACAATGTACAGCCATAAGTTGTCATATTCAACATGAAATTGGTTACTCTAAGCATTCTGATAAAATTGCATGGCAACTCATGGAAGGGGAGACAAGATGTCATCACGTGAAAGGAGGATTTCCTTCACACTATAGTAAACACATTCATACACACATATATGCAACTTAAGAGAAAACGTTTTCTAATTAAGTTTTTAAAAACAGAATCTGTTATATCTAAACACAAGCATTAATTTATTTTTTAAAAATACACAAATATCATTATCTTGAGTAGTTATAGTCAACAACTTCAAGAGTAGTGATTTAATACCAGGCATATTTTATGCCCAGTCAGAAGCCTTCGGGGTGACTCTAGTGTAACGAGGTCAGAACCAGCACAAGGTGTACCAGTGTAATCAGAGAATTAGGCAAAAGGAGACACATACAACAGCAGGTTTAAAAAGTACAGCAATACAAACACCATGCGGGACTTTCCTCTCATTTACCACACAAGCTGGTTAGCTAGTTTCAGTAAATGAAAGTTATTTTACTTCTAGGGCAGATATCCTTTTCATTGCTTAGCCATCCCAATTGTGAAAGGAGATGTGAAATGTTCTTTGTCATATTTCTGTTACCTGCCGAAGAGCATTAACTTGGCAGAAATATTTTGATGTCTACTAAAACACGATAAAATTATGTGTTTAAAAAGGAATCGGTATGATTTTGAGGAAAAGATGATGTTTCTGACTTTTTAAAAATAATTCACAATGGTTATAATTTCTAAATGTGCTATCACATCGTAGAACAGGAATAATCAAAGGAAACAGACAAAACAGAATGGAAGAGAACTCTCTTCTTGTGGAAACAGATATTTCTTAAGAGAGCAAGTAGTTATTTATTTTGGTCTTACCTGACGGCAGCTCCTTTAACCAAAGGTATGTCCTCTATGGAGGTAGTTTATCCTTTGAAGAACCCAGTGGCTTGTCTCACAGCCCAAGACAGATTTGAGTTCTTAAAAACTATCCAGCTCAAAAGAATACAGAGGAAAAAGCTTTTCCCACTTTCTTTCCCAGAACTAGCCAATAGCTGAAGTCATGCAGGAAACAGAGTAGAGAGGGGGGAAAGCAGCTTCTTCTCCCTGAAATCCCGATCAGCAGAAACTGGAAGTTGTTGTATATCTCCCACCCAGACTTTTGTTTAAAAGTTTTTTCAACTGTTGCTAGGTGTTGTTGGGTTCTGAGATTAGGTTTCTCCTCTTCTGCTCCCTTCACAACACTGTCAGAGCAATGACTATGTTGAGGAGCTGAGCTCGCGGGTGCTATATTTAACTGGTGTTCTCAGCAAGTCAAGCCTGTCAACAGCTGAGAAGTTTGGAGCCGGCTTTACTCAGTTCCTAAGCAGCTGGGTTATCAGTGGATATAGCGCTGCTCACCCTGTAAAAGATTGCGGGAAAACCGACAGACCCTTTTAAGGACTTCTGCTTATTTCACAGAGGTAATTATTGTTTGAAGCTCTTAACTACAGACTGAGATTTGGGACTTAGGTTTTAAAACGTGAAGAGAAACAGAGCAGCTGTTGTCTTGGGCAGAGCAATTTACTAATGCAATATTCTTCTCAATTAGGCTCTCTCAGATAAATGTTCTGAAATAAAAAGTGCTTTTTAAAAGTATATCACTTCTTCTGCATAAAGGGAGGTTTCAAAAAAGTGTATCACATCTGTTGGTTGTGAAAATGAATACGAGATCACTTCCAAACAGCGTTTGACACCGGTGTGTTTCATTTATAGCTAGATCACTTACCTAGACATATCAGACTTTTGTCCAGCTATGTACCTGAATGTTATTAAAATAAAATTACCATAAAGGAATGTCTATAACATTATGATTTTGAAAGGAGTAACGTTAAGACGGAAAATCTTAGTATCCTCACTCAGGTCGTTCATTCAAAGTAACACACGGTAAACACTCCAGGAAATCCAGGACACGAGATACCTCTGGTTGTTAATAGGCTTGCCTCATCATTAACCCTCAAGTCTCCACAACATGAAGAATGTCTCAAGATACTTTATGTGCTTCATCCTACATAATAAAACGGTATGAATCTGCTGAGACTGAAACTTTCTAAAAATTGTTTAACTAGTTTTGGGGACTGTTTTACTAATTACATATGTGAAATTAACACTAAGGGAAACTGAGGGAGGTCCTTTTGGCCACAGGTAAAATAGGAAGGGAGGCACACACACCACACACATACACACACACACACACACAGAGAGAGAGAGAGAGAGAGAAGGAGAGAGAGAGAGAGAGAAACATTATTGATTAACAAACTAGAATATGGCCCTGACAAAAATCTCACCAATACCGTTATAAAGGTTGACCCTCTTCCTGAGATCAATTTGTCAGATTAAAGATACCCTCTTTTTGACATGCAAACTGAAGATGAACCAAAGACATATGTAAAGGTGTGGATGTAATATTTTAAGAGTTGCATACTTGCAGTAAGTAGCTTATGTGCTGGGTAACCCTATGTCTCTGAGAAAGTTTGCCACTTCAATCAGGAGTGTGTGCGTGTCCTTCTTTTTAAAGAAATGACCCTCACCTGCTCAAGCCATTCGAAAACATCTCAGTTCTTCTCACTCCAAATAGCACACTGACAGCATGCAACCTGCCCCCTTAACGTACTTACTACCATACACATGTAAAATTGCATTTGTTCAGACTCAGTCTTTCTGAGTCTGAGCCAACCTTGATTTAAAAAAAAAAAAAAAGTCCTTCTATTAAGATGAAAGAGCTCTCATGTGAAATTGACTGACTCTTCTTGAGCTAATGGATCTTTTAGAAACTTAATCTATTCACAGTCCCCAAAAGTGGGTTGTAATAGAGGTAGAAAGTATATAAGTGAAGTATGAGATAATTCAGAATCATCAGAACTTTTAAAAAATTACAAAGGGGCCAGGCACAGTGGCTAACACCAGCACTTTGGGAGGCTGAAGTGGAAGGATCACTTGAGGACAGGAGTTCAAGGCCAGCCTAGGCAACACAGCAAAACCCTGTCTCTACAAAAAATTAGCCGACCATGGTAGCACATGCCTGTAGTCCCAGCTACTTGGGGACCTGAAGTGAGATGATGGCTTGGGACCAGGAGGTCATGGGTGCCGTGAGCCATGATTGTGCCACTGCACTCCAGCCTGGGCAACATGACCCTGTCTCCAAAAAAAGTGGGGGGTCAGGGTGGGATGTGGATAAATTACTGTTTGAAAATATATACACTTCCCCTCACACACACCAAATGCAACAGCCCCAGGTTAAAATCCACTAAAAATAACTCTGGGTATATATTATTTGACCCCTACTAAGAGTTTACTTTACAGATATCTTCAGACCAAAATGAATCAAAGAAGAGTGGTAGCCAAATGTCGAGATAACTGAGGGGAAAAACCCCCTTTGCCCTTATGGCCAAAAAAGGGTGATAGATTTATTTCTTTCGTAACTATCCAGATAATTAAAGTTTTCAGTTTTGTTTTGTCTAATGAATACCTATTCCCTCACCATGGTTTTCCTTAACCTTTGGATTAGCTGTCTATTGTTGCTATTAGTTTATTTTTAAACAACGTGGTCATAAGCCACAGTATACAGAATAATTCATATAATTAGATATTCATATAATTGCTATCATCAAATTATGTTCTTTAATTATACTAGGCATATGTACATGACTGACTCGGTATTCTACAATAATCAGACTTTCTCTCTCTCTCTCTAACACACACACTCACACACACACAGGCAATAAAGTAAATTTATTTTGAAGGCTTTTCCCCCCGGGAATGATTATTCAGACTAAAGCATTTCCGACATAATCTGCAGAGGAAGTGGTGCAGCTAAGAACTATTAGAAATTTGTGTTTTGTATACAGTCAACAAGGAACTGCTGTTTCAACACATATTGTTAATATATTACTGTTCAGCTGCATCCTTTCCCACAGCCCTAAGTGTGAGCATTCTGAGAACCTCTGATCCATTTATAAGTAAAGCTGAATATCCCAACCTCAAGGATGAGTCATGATGAAAGTTTTTAATAAGAAGATAGACTAATGCTATCAGGGGTGGGAGGGAAAGGCAAATAAATTAAATAAGAGCATTGACCCATTATCTCTACACCCATTTCTAAAACCAAATTTTCCCGCCTTGTTCATTGAAATAAGCACAGTGATTTTTAAAAGCAAAAGTAAGTTAAGTTATTTAATAAGTTAATTAAGTTCTTTAATATACCAGTGAAGAGAAAAATAGACATTTGCTTCAAAACAATGTTTACTTTAATAATGTTTGGGGGTAGTGGGTGGGTGGCATGAGACAAGTTTTCAATCAAACATGCTCTGTTAACATTTATTGCCTGACTCTGAGATGATGAACATAAGCTCACCGGTACCAGAGAATTTTTCAGTTTGTTTTTTTCTGGCTACCTAAGCACCACAGTAAGTGTTCAATAAATAAGAAAGACTGAATGAGCAAATGAACATATAAAAGATTAAAGAAAAGATAAAGAAAACTATAGAGCATACAGAAAATGCTTCCAGGCTCTCTGGACAGAGTTGGGTCATCATTAGATACCTATAAAAAATTTGTAGAAGGAAATTATTTTATTGTGAATTAATTATTTTGAATTTGTTAATTTTTTATTGTTGTTGCTTGAGACAGAGTTTCACTCACTCTGTCGCCCAGGTTGGAGTGCAATGGTGTGATCTCGGTTCACTGAAACCTTCACCTCCCAGGTTCAATCAATTCTCTTGCCTCAGCCTCCTGAGTAGCTGGGACCACAGGCATGCGCCACCAAGCCCGGCTAATTTTTTTTTTTTTTTTTTTATTTTTGGTAGAGACAGGTTTCAGCCATGTTGGCCAGGCTGGTCTTGAACTCCTGGCCTCAAGTGATCTGCCCTCCTTGGTCCCCAAAAGTGAATTTGTTAAAATTTCAAAGAAAAGTAATAGATCTCAGGATAATAATTAAAATATCTATGTAACATTTACTATTAGCCAGACACAGAGTTCTAAGGGCTTAACATATATTAACCCAATTAATTCTCACAATAACTTTATGAGGTGGGTATTATTATTATCCCACATTTTACAAGCAAAAAAATTGAAGCACAGAGATGTTAATAAGTTGGCCAAGGTCACATGTTAGGTGGTAAATAGCAGGACCAGAATTTGAACTAGTAAATCTGGTTCCAAAAATATGTGTTCTTAACTACTTAACTGCCTCTTACATACAATAGTCACAGTAGCCGGTTCTTATCAATCACTGAGGGTTAAGGCATATGAACTTCACTAGCCCTGAATATATATACTTCTGATCAACAAATACATTTAAAATCCAACAGTTTTGGAGGAGATAGAAAAAAAGATGGGATAATTTCATGATTAGCATAGTAAAATAAAAATTCATTGGAACTGAAGTCCTGTTGAATACCAGAAAAGAAAAAATTGGACTGAAAAGAAAATAATTACTTTAAGAAAAAGTCTATTTTTAAGCAAAGGATATGAGCTGTTCAGTATTGTTTCTAAAACAAGCAATGCATGATGTTTTATGATGAATGAGTTTAATGCTTAATGAAATTCTAAAATTACATTCTAAAAATATACTTTTGGTCTATGATTTGATAAACAATTTAAAAATGTTTTGGAGCTATGTGTTCTCAAAGATGTAACCAACAACAAGAAAAAATGAAAAATAATGTAGGGGAAATCATACATTAGTAAGTTATTTGGCATCAACATAATATTATATTACACTTGATATAATCAGCTTTCACAATTTGAAGATACTTGCATTTTCAATTAATCTAGCTATTCTTCTATTTAGATTTTATAAAACCTTAAAAGAAACAGCACT